TTAAAAATATGTAAGTATTTGAATTCCCATAGCCTAGCCACAGCTACAGTTTAAACCCATATCTAATACCATAGTACATATAAATAAAGCAAAAAAGTCAGGTTGTTTCACTACTCAGCTAGTGTCACATACCTGGTGGAGATCAAGCTAGAGAGGGTGCTTCTTTCTTTATCGTACATCACGGGACACAGAGCAGACTATTCATGACTATGTGGGTTATCGGCCACCTATATGTGAATGGACACTGGCCGACCAATCAGAGAGGAGGTCTTCCCCTATGTAACCCCTTATAAAGAGGAAGTACCTCCATTTTTTAGCCAGTGTCTGTAAGGTGGATGGTCACTGAAAGTGTTGCTGTGCTCTTGGAGCATACCTGAAAGTCCAGAATGGTTCCATTAGAGAATCAGGGAAGAATCATCAAGGTTTTGCCTGTAATGCAACCTTATGGTGCTGGACCCTGCGCAGATGGAACCCTGTGCAGTTTTAAATCTGACCAAGGCGCTTCCAGCGGAGTGCTATACGGGTCCAAGGCAGTAGACCCTCAGCATGGACACTGAGTCATTGAAGGTCTGTATGACAATACCGTGATGGGTGTGAAGGTTGTTGCCTGACTGAAGTCAGGGATCTGCAGCGGGACTGGTAAGATATCTCCTTTTTTTTTCTCTCTGTAAAGAGAAACAAACAAAGCTCTAAATTGGAGGGAAAATGAGAGGTATTGTGACTGTGAGTTTCCAATAGGGGGAGTGCTCACTGTTGTTCCCCAGATGTGCTTGCTCTTTTTGTTTTCGGCCACTAGAGGGAGTGCGGCCAGAAACGAAAGTCGGCCATATTTTTTTCACCTGGAGGCCAGGACACACGTGCCTGCTGCTTCTAAGAAATCTCCTGTGGCTGGGACACAGAGCGGACTATTCAGTAGGGGCACTTGAGTACTCCCCTGAGGGGGAAGCGTGGGCTAGTCAGTCAGGAGCCGCCATAGGTGGCTCATAAGGCAGCATTTGCATTGAGTGTTCTTTCAGCACACTCAATGCAAATGCTGCCTTATGCACACTCAATGCAAATGCTACTTGTCAAGTAACGGAGTGGAAGGCCATCAGTGCAGGGGGAATGCTTGGCCAAGGATTTGGAGAATGTTCAGCGTGCTTTGTGTTTTGCGGTTTATGCTCTTGAGGATGCATATTCAGCAAATTTCTTGCTTGGCCCTTCTATCAGTGCACATGCGCAGTGTTTTGTGGCTGAAGAGTTGGTCAGCAGAACTGCCATGCAAAACATTTTTAGCAGGTTTTCTCTTTCATGGGGAAGATTTGGACAAATATTTCCAAAAGATTTCAGGAGGTAAAAGTATTCTTCTACCCTCTAAGAGGAAATCCAAATGCCCTTCTTTCAAGGTGTCAGGGGCTTCGATTGCTGGGCCTTCATCTACCAGGCAGTCGATTCGCCAAACACAGGTCCCAGTCTCCAGGGGTAGATCTCAGAATCAGAACCCAAGGAGACCCTGGGAGCAAAATATGTCTAAGAGAAATCCAAAGTCCACCTACTTTGAAGGGGCGCCCTTACTTGTTTGGGTGGGGGGAATGATTTGAATTTTGTGGCTGCCTGGAGGGCTGTAATCCAAGACAAATGGTTCATTTTCTACAATTTCTCTGGGGGTACAGACTGGAATTTTGGGAATTTTCCTATCTTTGGTTTCTAAGATCAAATGTACCAATAAATCCAGATAAAATAAATGCTTTATTTCAGGAACTCGATTGTCTATTGGCTCAAGGAGTTATCTCGGAAGTTCCAGTGGGCAAAAGGTTTCAGTGGTTTTATTCAAACCTGTTTACAGTCCCAAAACCAAATGGGGATGTGAGACCCATTGTGGACCTCAAGGGGCTAGATCAGTTCCTAAACGTCCAATCCTTTCGTATGGAATCGGTTGGGCCAATAGTGGCCTCCCTACAGGAGGGAGATTTTTTAGCGTCCATAGACATCAAGGACGCATACCTGCATGTACCAATATTCATTCCTTACCAAAGATTTCTGCGGTCTGCGATAGGGGCTCAGCATTTCCAGATCTTGGAACGGCTAGGCTGGGTGCTCAACCTCAAGAAGTCGGTCCTGGAACCAGGGCAGAGCCTGGAATATTTGGGGATGGTCTTAGACATGGTGGTTCAGGCAAAAGTATTTCTGCCTCCAGGGAAATGTTGCACCCTGAGAACAAGGTTTGCAGTTTGAAGGCCAAGAGGTATCCTTCGATTAGCCTCTGTATGAGGTTGCTGGGGAAGATGGTGTCCTCGTTCGAGGCTATTCCCTATGCCCAATTCCAATCCAGACTTCTGCAAAGGTACATTCTCTCTGTTTGGAACAAAAAGATTCTGGCCCTGGATTGCTGCATATCTCTGTCTCCAAAGGTGCGGCAGAGCCTGAATTGGTAGTTGATAACTCACAATTTGTAGAAGGGAAGATTCTTTCAGCCAGTGGTGTGGAAGCTGGTAACCACCGATGCCAGCATTTCAGGTTACAAAGTTACATAGTCTGGCTGAAAAAAGACAAAAGTCCATCCAGGTCAGCCATTAAAAAAAAAGTTATAATCCTACATCCACAGTTGCTCCAGAGGAAAGCAAAAAAAAACAGCAAAGCATGATCCAATTTGCTCACGCAGGGGAAAAATACCTTCCTGATTGTGACGGTCGTGGCATCAGACCCCCAGCCCTTCTCACCAACTCGTGACCGAAGAACTAGCCAATCTAAAATCACGCTGTCACATGTGTAACAATGCCACGCTCAGCTGCACAAAGATTTTCCAGCTAATGGACCACAATCTATGTACCTGCAGCCTGAGAGCGATTGTTACTGGGTCAGGTTAATTACGCAATTAACCCTTCACACTGCCACCATACATCATACATAAACTCTAAGACAGTGCTATATAAGTACTTGACATACCGTAAATAAATACTGTGGCACCACAAAACTAAGTTATGCTCAATAACAAGGTGCTGCTGTGATTCCTCATAATGAGCACCGCATGCAACATATCATCTATCCATACTGCCAGTCATATTATTTTTAAAATTACTTCATTCTTTTGTGGAACTGAAATGTCTGCATGTCTGAGAGTGCGACTAAAAAAAGAAAAGAAAAAAACACTGTATGTTTACCATTGCTAGGATATCCTCATAAATATTTGTTTTGAGCTTAGCTGGACTAGATAGTGAAAATATAATTGCTGAGGTTTTATCCCTTCAGACTGTCAGCTGCTCTGGCATTTTCGGTTGTGGGTCACGAATTTGGATTCTAAGAAGTATGAGAGTCTTTCCAAACAGAATGACTCCAAAGAAGCAGAGTCAAATTCTTATGTTACATTCTTCAATGTGTTCCAGGGCACTTTTCTCTGTTAGTTGTTCCAAATTGCCTGTTGAATGGGTGTTTTGTATCTTTACTTCTGTTAAGATACTGCTATTGTATGCTATGAACAGAAACTCATCTTGGTCCCCACAAGCATGGTGGGTTCTGTGTGCAGGTTGTGCAAAAAGAGGGGTCTACAACTTTCTAAGCTAAGGGTCAGTTCACTATCCTTTACACTTTAGGGGGCCAGAGTGTAGCCAATGGGAGTCGAATATGCCACAGTGTCAGTAGGAGTTAGCAATAGTTTGGTGGACAGTGGGAGTAAAAAAACCATTCATAGCACCTGTGGTCAGTACGAGGAGGAAAAGGGCCCCCACAGATGCAAGACAAAAGACAGACACAGATGCAAGACAAAACAAAGGAGATAATATGCCAATACCTCATAGAATAATAGGATTTAAGAAATACAGCTTCCTCTTGTGATATGGTCACAGGTTGCTGTGTTTGGGGCTATTTATTGCCCTTACCGGCCAGTGCTGTTGCATCTGTTTGAGTCTGAACTGAAATCAGTGTCTATCTCTTCTGTCTTGTTTTTTCCATCTGAACTGTATTGGCTTAGGCTTATTATGTTGATCTGATCTGTATTGGTCACAACCCATCTTGTTTCTGTTTAGGCATAGGCTTCTAAATGTGTCTGTTTTGATTTACATCTTGCTGTCTCTTCCACTCATTGTCTGTTCCTGTCTGTTTGATGTGTATTGGCACTTTATCTGTTACTTTCTGTGGTTGTCCAGCTTGGGAATCACATTCCAGGAGCTATCCTGCTGCCCAAGTCCATCTGTGCCTTCAATAGCAATAACACCTTAGTGAGAACACTTCATCTATCAACTAGCAACCCAATATATTCCTGTTTGTTCCCCATAACCTTGTACTCATTCTCCTGTGTATCTGCACTCTGCTCCTGCTCTGCCATGCCTTGCTACTTTGCTCCTAAAGTTCCCAGTCCCCACTTCCCTGCTACCTTTTATGGAAATGTAACAGCTGCTTCATTTATTACCATTTGCATTCCCTTTGGATAGGTGCATATGCTCTCAAAGAAGCACATATGTAACTTGTGTAAGAAATATTCTAGCACCCCAAGGACATACAGCTAACATTATATTGTACTCACAATATATTCTATACAGAATAAGCAGCAGTTCTCTTTGCTTTACAGCCCTTTTATGTATTCTAGGTTAAAAATTTTAAATATTGAACATATCAAAAAAGCACCTCAATACCATTCCAGGTTTGTATCGGTAAGCGGGGATCTATCTATAAAACAGTATGGTGCAACACAATGTGCAACTTAGTGAGAGCAGAGCACAAAGTGCCTGTACAATGTAGAATCATCACCTAATTCTAATTAGGGCATATTTTTCTCACTGCATAGCTGAATACAGAAGTGTGTCAAATCTATGTCTCTTCACATATTTATTTTAAGAAGTGAGGTCTTATGTTTTTGTCTCTGTGGTTTTATCTTCCAATGTTGGTAATCTAAAAAATTACTCAGTTAATGGGACCAAGTTGACATAAAATTCTACAAAGCTCCTGGTAAATATATGTGTAATGCATTATTATTGCATATGATTATTATTCATGCAACTGACTTTTTCTTATTTTTTGTTTTTCAGATGAGAGGGGTTTTCTACATAACAACAATTTGTTACCACGAATTGTTTTGTTAATGCATCGTTGGTATTTGTCTTCTACTGAACTTGCTGGAAAACTTCTCTCAATATATCCTTTTGTTAAAGTGCAATGCGAAAATTGCAGGAGAACACTCCTGGTTTAGGACCAGCAAGCTTTATTACTTGCATGTATAGCACATGATTGATACTACTTCCTAATGCAGGGGGGTCTGCACTCTCTAGGGCAATAACCAAATAAAAAAATAACAAACATACAAACAGTAGTTAATGCAGCTCTGTAATCATACTTTATTACAGGAATTAGCAAGGAATGCACATGTAAACCACTGTAGAACTTTGAATAAACTGGCGGTATATACAGAGAACACATTGAATGCATCTCTCTCCCTTTTTTGAGCTTTAGTAAAGCCAGGAGAAATAAAATCTTCAACTTCAACTAGCACCAAGTCTTGTCACCTCTGAATAAATGACTCCACCTCACAAGTGTCAACCATAATCGCCACCACTGATACACTGATTTCTTGCTTGGAGACAAAGTCAAGTGGCAATCCATCCTAAACACCCAATTTGTGCTGTCACCCAATTCATATCCTGACCCATAGTTTAGGAAAAACTGCCTTAATGTTTTCTAAAACTGTTAAGAAGTGCTGCCCACTTGTGGCTTAATGATTAATAATTCATATTATGGAAAATTATAGATTCTTTCTCATTTATCGTCCAACTGAGGAACATAGGAATTTAGAGACTTGCAAATTATATTGTTGCCTACGGAAGAACTAGACACTGGCAAAGTTCAGTATAACCCCTCCTGATTCCAGCATGCCTCAAATTTTTTTGTTAGTGTTCTAGGAAGGCATCTGTTCTCCACTCTTCTGTGAAAAGTCTAACCTTTTTGCTAGCTACCCTCTTTTACTTTATTCAAGGTTCCTACTTTTTAATGCAACTATCTGGATCTCCTTTACTCAGCCTGGCTTTGTACTCCATATCAAGAACCTACTGGATTGGATGTTGTAGAACTAGCCTGGAATGTAACCTTTGGACACTGGCACTGCATTGTAGTGCCTTCCAGGTCTGTGTGTACTTCTGAAAGTTAGCTGCAGAGTGCTTTCTGAGTCCATTGCTTAAGCATGACCCTTTCGCTGAAGACTCCTTTTGTGAGTAGGCCATAGGGGCAGAGCAGTGAAAGCTACTCCATTACTGACACTGCTGGGGAATCCTAAATGTTACCGTCTTTTCTGTTTCACCACAGAAAGGATTGGTGCAAAGGAATTGAACAGAGCATCATATGCTTTCCAACTTTCCATTGCAAGAGACATGAAACTCTCCTTGGTTCATCCCGGCTGCTCACCTTCAGTGACCTGGCCACAGTGAGCCACCTGATCCTACCAACAACTGGTTCATATCAGAGGCCTTGTCTTATACCCTGAGCACATTGCCTTCTACTTGTGGTGCAACATATATGATTACAGACACAGGGAAAACAATGCTGCTGTTCTGAGTTCCTCCAGGTCACACTTCACTAACTGACTAACTCCCTCCTGAAGCACCTGACACTGATGGTCCAGAATTTTGCCCTTTGCTGGAGTCCATCCTATATTTTAGGTCTTCTTTAGCTCTGTTGGGCATGGCTGCTTCCTCCACTCTATCCAGGGAGGATTTCCCTGCAGTCATGCAGGATGTTATGGGCTAAATAGCACTATTGGTTTCTGACTATTATGGCTATAGACCACAGTCTTTCTTTCTGAAGACTAGAAAAATCCTGACGTGCTCTTTGTCTAAACCAACCAGCCTTGTACCCATTTGAGGACATCTTTGTTATAAAAGGTGGCTGCTTTGGCTTCACTTTTCTGTCAGCCCCTATACTCCCAATTTGTGACATGCCATTTTGCCTGCCCATTCTGCCACAGGCAGAAACCAAGTTGCTGGCCCCTGTGCTGGCCCTACTATGCTCTCAGGGCATCCCTGTTGTGAGATATTTAGACAACCTGTTCTGAAGGAACAGTCGGTTCAGGTTCTGATGGACAACATTGCTTAGACCATACAGACCCTGCAGAGATATGGATTGATCCAGGACCTTCAGAAGTCAGCTCTGGAATCAATTCATCACTTTGTGGTGGATGGCAGAGTCAGGCGGATTTTTCCAAGTTTTTCTAGGCGGATGTTCATGAATTCTCTGAATTCTAGTATCCCTCAATAAACTGAAAAGAAAAAAGAATAAAATAAAATCCATTTCTTTGAGTCCATTGAGGGACACAGGTCCCACCTTTTTCTGTTTATGGTTATGCTCTTGTTATTTTTTTACTACAGAATTGAGGGGTGCTGGGAGTGGGAGAGGTTATATTGGGCTGGCTCACATTTTTTTTTTGTTTGATGGTGGCCAATCCACATGTAGGAGGGAGTATGACCCGATAATCTCTGAATTCCTGTGTCCCTATTGGTCTCTTTTTTTTGTAAACTCTTTGTTTCCCGATTATGAATCTGTACACTTAAACCAGAAAAGGGCTTATGGCAATTATGTATGGTGAAAGCATTAGCCACTAGATAATTCTTGTAGCTAAGCAATGTGGAAAAACCATGGACAAGTGAAACAATATGTTAATTTGCCCCTTTCAAGACATTACACACTGCATGTTTCTGCAAGTCATCTCCCTGTTGGTACACTCATATCTCCAGCAATGCTCTTACAAAGTGTTCTTTTACAATGTAGCCTTTCATAGTTAAAATGGTAAAAGTTGATTGGAATGTCAGTTATATCTTAGATCATTGGATGAAATCAGACTTTACCTTGGTGTGGTTTGAAAAATCAACGTCCAGTCATTTATAAAAAAATCATAATTTCCCATATTCATTTGCAGCTACTAAGGCTTTTCATTGGTGTGGGGTACAAGTGGCAGGTTTTTTATGAAAAGCAATCAGCTATTTTGAACGGAAATTTAAACTTGATTATACAAAAACCTAGAAAAGTTGATATCCATCCTATATGATTGCCAAAGATGTACTTAATGTATACATTTAGGAGCATACTTATATGCAAAATATGTCAGAGTTCCACTAAAAATCATTATATAAACTAGAGAAACATTGGAACATGGCAGATTTGTGGCTACTTAAGAGAAACCAATTAAAGCCCTATGATGGCCTGTTTAAGTGGGATTTTATTATCATTATCTCTCTCAAGCTGTCAAGACTGTGGTAGTGTGGTGGAGGAACCAATACCACATTACATGTTTACACCAGTATCTCTGTTTCCAGTGGACTCATCTGCATGTTGCTCCCCTTCAGGAGTCTTATGATGGGCATGAACATGGTCTTGCATAATTTAGCTACACTGCTTTTTCCTATTCAAAAGAACATATTGGAAAACAGTATGATTAGACTTGTTGTTGTTTCAATACATGGTAAGTCAGTTTAGAATATTCTACCTCTAATCTATACCTCTAAAGCATCTCTTATGATGCTTCTAACATGTGAATATGTTTTATGTATAGGTTATAAATCAAGAAGCACCACTATCAAGGGTGCTTATACCCTAGAGGAGGTTGGTGACAGGAGGGGCAGTGTGTAAAGACAACCACAGACAGGTGGAAGTGATTTCTGAGCCCAGTGAATGATCTGCCAGAGATGGAGTGGGTTGGAGGTGGGTTCACATCCCCATGGTAACACCAGGAACAAGCTAATTTGGCAGTCCACAAGGAAATACAATTATGGTGAAGGATGAATAATATATATTGTATGTATATTGTACAGTATGCATAATATTATACGATTATATGTTACAGAATTCATGCCATCACAATGTAAATTTTATCACTAAAAGGGTGTGCAATAAGTGTGTCTAGCATAGCGGAGTCCCATATTCTTTACTGCATATTGCATCTGTTGAATTTGATTATGCTATGAATGTAATAGAGGTTGTTTATTTTATTGTTGCTCCCAGGTATTCACTAATAAGCACCTGGAAAGTATTGCACCTGTTGTTTTACAATCATTTAGGCTTTAAGGCTTCTATATTTTTTATATTTGTATTAACCTTATAGATTGACTTTATTTCTGGAACTTTGCAGTTTCCATTTATTATATTTTCTAGATATTTTCTTTAATCTTTTACATATCAAAATGCTACTGGTGAAAACTGTGATATATTGCGACTGAAGACATGTCACTTTATGAGGTAAGATTATTTAAAAGGAAAATTGAATATGGTTTCAGAATTGTAGAGTCAAAGAAAAGTGCACCACTGCAACTCTTCAAGCACTCCCCCCATGTGTTGGAAAGAGGTGCTAGCTTGTGGTCCTTCACTCCTCACAAATGACTCAGTATAATAAGAGAAAAGCAACACACTGATGAAGTCTTCACAGGCAAAATTTTTTTAATCAGCTGACAAGCTCATGATCTTGCTCCCAAGACCATTCATCTGACACCCTGTGGGCTCATTCCTACATGATTAAGCCTACTGGGGAAACATGTCAGAGGGATGGTCTTGGGGGAGAGACCATGTGCTGAAGCTTGTCAAGCTTTGCCTGTGAAGACATCATCAGTGTGTGGCTTTTCTTTTGGATTACACTGAGCCATGGTTTCAAAAATGCAAAACTTTAAGGATCAGCTTCTTGAATTAGTTTTTTTTTTTTTTTTTTTAGGCCAATAAGCTACAAATATTTCATTAGAGAAAATTTAAAAACAAGCTTTTTTTCTGATTATGTAAGGACTTTTACTTACTATAGCCATAGTAAACTTTATAAGTTGTGCTTTTCAATATGTTAGGAGGTTCTTAAAATCGATTTATGAAGAAATCCTGTGTCTTTGTCGGTATGACTTCTTTATTACTTTAGATAATTTGTAATGCACTTCCTAATACAGAAGGTGATAACTGTGAGTCACCTTTCTTAATGCAGGTTCAATCACAAGTACATATACTATATATCAGGCGCGGACTGACAACTCATGGGGCCCCCTGGCCAATAGGGGATCATGGGGCCCCTGTGTCCTTGCCCAAACTCAAAAAAAGCCTATGAAAAAGGTACCAGGGGAATGTCATGGGGCCCCCTACTGACCCCGGGCCCTCGGGCAGCGCCCGAGTTTCCAAATGGTCAGTCCGCCCTTGCTACATATACATATAACTGAAGGAAAAATGCATTTAAAAAAAAATACTGCATCAGTTTATTTGTAGGAAGTAGAATGCACTTGGCTACTTAGCTCCTTAAACCAAATTTGAACATTACATTATCATTACCAATATGATAAAGTCTTAAACTTCAAACTTGGATCCTTGCTTACAATATCACTTCCATTTTGCTGTGTCTTTTGCCAAATTAATATTCTATTTATATAAAGGCTGTTGGTCATTTCCTGGATGTCATCCATCCACTGTGTTCTTTTTTCCTTTTCTTTACTTTGTTCTCTTCCACAATCTTTCATAGTTTCCTGCAATATGGCCAAGTAATTGGCATTTTGTTTTCAAGATTCCTTTTTAGCAGATGTGGTTTTTATTAATGACTCTTTGCAGCACCTCTTCATTTATGACCATGTCTGTCCAGTTGATTTCCAAGATCCTTCTGTAGCACCACATTTCAAATCTTTTGATCTTCATTTTTTAAAGTTAAGGTGAGGGAAAACGTTCCTGTGCCATACTCGAGAACAGACCAGACTTGCATTTGTAGAAATACTTTCTGTGTGTTTAGAGGGTGCTTGCTCTTCTTGGGCTTTTTGTGCCTCCAGAAACTGTTTGTTCTTGGCAATTCGAGCTCTGACGTCATCATCACTCTTCAGGTTTTCATTAGTACATACAGTATTTCAAGATATTAGACTATGGTTATTTGCATTATTCCTTCATTTTCAAGCAACTGTTTTACTTCTTTATGTTGGTTTCCAGCTATACATTTTGCCTTTTAAGTGTTTATTTGGATGGAGACTTTTGGATATTTTCTTGCCCATTTCAGCTATTTCATTCTTTGCATTTCAAGTAGTTCAAGCAGTTGCAACCTTTTTCACATTCTGCACTGTATAGTCTGCATATTTTCTGAATAATCTTAGATTCATACATTGGAATTCCAACACCACCACAAATACAGTACATTGAAAGGATTTGTCTGTCTAGGTATTGAACAGCTGTGGAGACAGAACACATCCTTGGTACATTATTGGAATTGCATGTTAACATTTGGTATCCATCTTCAAAAACACTTCCTGTATGTTATAGATAGTGGGGCTATGAGACCTGAGATTTTTTTCTACCAACACCCCTTTTATGTTTCTTATGTTTCTATAAGGTTGTCATGCTTGACTCAAATCAAATGATTTGAAAAAGTCATTTAGCCATATATATGTTTCCTGTTGCTTTCTGATCTGATTTGCTAGCAAGGTTTTAGGTGGTGTAATGATGCTCTTGATGGTGCTGACTTTTGCCCAAAAGTCATATTGAAATGGATCAGTTTTATTTTGTTTTCAACTTATGTGGTTATAGATAACTTTTGATGAAATCTTCATCACTTGTAGTATCAGGGATATTGTCTGATGCTTAACACATTTTATTGTTTTTTTTTTTACTTCAGGATTGCTACCAAAATAGTCTGTAGTCATTTTTCAAACATTTTCTTCACCTTGGTAAAATGCCACTCTTAGCAAGTTCTTGTTTTACTTTTTTACCTACTGTGTTAACGTATTTAGTTGGTATTTCATCATTGCCTGTTGCTCTTTATTACTTTAGCTTTGTACTGCTTTCATTATGTCCTAATTTATTATCTCTTCTGACATGTATTCTCTCCATCTGCTGTGCATCTAATTCTCTGTGGCTAATACCTCTTCTTCTTCACTTTCAATTTCATCTCCATTATTAAAGGTTGGCTTTGATACTTGTCTATTTACTTTCATGTGCATTTTCCTGGTTTAATTTTTCTTTTCTAATTTTTATTTCATTGTAGCCAACATTTATTTCTTTCTGTCTTGGTTGTCAGGAAAGATTTTACCATTTTCGTAATTTTTTAGCCACTGTTGTCCAATTGAATCCTTGGGGTTTTTAATTTCTTCTATTCACCCTTTAGTCTTGCTGTTAATGCCATGTGATCTGATCGTTTATTGATTCTTTGTATCACTGAATTTTGAGATTGTGTTGCTGTACAAATTGATCAATATTTTTCCATTGCATTTCCATATTGTATTTTATTTATTTATATACAATAATTAATGTATTGCTTCCACAGAGTCCACAGTTACTGTTCTCTTTTTAAAACCTTACCTCCAAAATAGCATAGTTTCTTTCAGGTGACCTAATTAATTCCTAATGATATATTGCCTATGTATGTGCATATGCATTGTCTATGTACTGAGCCTGCAACCATAAATACCAAAGAAAGGTTTCTTTTTGGATTTTTTGGAATTATTGTCTGTGTCCAAGTCAATATTTTTAGGCAGGCAATTTATGGTAACATGTTTGAAAATGTCTGAACTAATTGGTACTCTGTTTCTGGCTTCTTCTCTGTTCATACTGTAAGTGACATTTCAGAACACTACGTTACTTAAGCATTCTAATCAATAACAACTTGGGGTTGTGGAAAAGATATATCAGGCCTTATATACACTGCTGCTCCTAAACATGAGTTTAAGAGCTTTTGCATTTTTTTGCCAAAGCCCCTGAACTCAACTCAATAAAAGCCTATGAGTCTATGTACACATAGGCTTTTACCAGAGTTTAGGAGCAGAAGAGTTTAGGGGCAGTTAAACATTCCTCTACTGAATGCAGAATAATCGCATTCAGGAGAAGAACGTTTAGGCCAAAAAATGCTAAATGTGGCAAAAACGCATGTAAATGTAGCTAAACGCTAGCCAGTTTAGCACTTGGGTGTTTATCCATGTTAATGGAAAATACTCTGACCAATCAAATGAATAAATGTCCAAGCGCTAAACATGGGTAAATGTGGGTAAATATGGCTAAATGCGGTACCACGTTTACACACGGTTTTGCCACATTTAGCATTTTTCAGCTGCCAGGGGAGTTTAGCGACTAGGTGAATTCATGTGTACATGAGGCCTTAATCACTTGAACTTTGGAAGGTTATGCCCCCTTCATGATCAGGCTGCTTTTTGCTATTCGGCAGTGTGCTACTTTAACTGTCAATTGCACAGTCATGCAACACTGTACCCACATGAAATTCATATAATTATCATGGGTATTTGATCACCAATGGGTTTTTATTTTTTACTATATTAATGAGAAAAGACAGAAAATTTTGAAAAAAACCCACTATTTACTACTTTCTGTTATAAAACATATCCAATAAAAAATTAAAAAATTTAATTTCTTCATAAATGTAGGCTAAAATGTATTCTGCTACATGTCTTTAGTAAAACAGAGTATATTAATTGACTTGTGTGAAAGTTATGGCATCTACAAACTATGGTATATATATTTTGAAAATTCATCAGTCCTTATTCTGACCTTATTTCTTGGGGCCCTAAAATGCCAGGACAGAACAATTACCACCCAAATGATCCCTTTTTGGAAAGTAGACAGCCTGGGGTATTTAGAAAGAGGCATGGCGAGTTTTTAAAGTTGTAATTTTTCTTGTCTCAATTTTTTGGAAAATGAAGAAATTAAATACAGTGTGTTTTCTTTTTCCACATTTTTTTTACCTCTCTGTCACCAGTGCACCACAGCCTCATCATGTGACTGGTGCTGCGGTGATCAGGGATACTGAATGATGACAGTAGGAAAAAAAATGTTAAATAATTTTTTATTCAATTTTTTACACATTTTTTAAGAACATTTTTAAAAATGTTTTAAACATTTTTTTACACCCTGTCATCAGAGTAACTCAGTGTCACCATAGTGACACTGTACTACTCTGGGGAAGGTTATCAGGAATTTTTTTTACACTGTTATTGCTTATACAGTGAAGATCTCCGTATAAGCAATAGCTTTGGTTGTCATGAATGGGTTTCCTCTGTCCCTCTGAAGATGCCACACCTAGTGTAAGGGGTGGAGCCGGTGACATCTTTTCAATACAGCAAGGTGGAAGAGAACACTGAAGATATACACTCACGGCCACTTTATTAAGTACACCTTACAAGTACCAGGTTGGACCACTTTTGCCTTCATAACTGCCTTAATTCTTGGTGGCATAGATTCAACATGGTGTTAGAAAAACATTCCTCACAGATTTTGATCCATATTGTCAT